TTCTGGCTCAGGTTCCCTCATGAGGTTGCCCTCCAGATGTTGGGAGCAGCTTCAATCTTCTAAAGGCTAGACTGAGATTCCCAATGTGCTTTTTGTGTGGATGATGAGTTGATGCTGGTGGTTAGCAGGAGCTCTCAGCTCTCCTCCATGTAGACTTCTCTGTAAGGCTGTGTGTCCTGCACAACCTGGCAACTAGCATTCACCAGAGTGAGTCATCCAAGAGAGAGCAAGGGAAAATCTGCAACATATTTTATGACTTAGCCTCAGAAGTCATATATCATCTTTTTCACAGTACCTATTGGTTACATAGGTCAGCCTTATTCAGTGTGGGTGGGGAATACATAGGAGTGTGAACACCAGCAGGCAAGTTTCACTAGAGTCTATCTTGATGGCTGGCTACCACACCAACCCTATTTGGTTATTGTAAGGATTAACCAAGCTGATGTGAAGAAGTACATAGCCTGGCATGTGATGAGCATATTTTAAGTCCTGATTAAATGTTAACTATTATTAGCATTACTTTGTTGAAAGTAATTTAAAAGTTAATGTAAAATTTATGTTAAAATTTTTGAAAATGCAAAAAGCATAGAAAAAAATGTTAAATAAATAGAAACACCCACTTCTTTCTACTTTCTTACCTAGAACATTACATATAACATAAAATATTCAGTGAGGTTTGTCAAAATAAAATATTAGAATTCTTATAGCTTCATAGGTAACTATATGGCTATTTCATAAAAGTCTTATTAACTGCAAGTTTCAGTATTCTACAGTATGATCTCACATCCAATGGTTCTTTTGAAAGTAAAAAAATGAAAAATTAAGAGCAAATTTGATTCAATATGGTAAATGTTCTTCAGGGCTCTATAAGTTCTTAAATTTCTCCTATTCTTCTGAATACAATTGATGCTCTTTTAATTAAGTGACAGAAATTAACTAAGTATATTTTAAGAGAAAAGGGAATGTTGAAGCTCCCACAGTTATTAAGTCAGAGGTGAAGCTGTGTGACATAGCCAGACCCAGGGGTTCAAATGATATCTTCATGTCATTCCCTATCTTGCTTTGCTTTCTCCCATTTAGTGAGCAACATGATCACCAACATCCCCAAACTTCCACATTCATAGCATAGTAGTAGAATGGAAATAAGAGCTGTCTTTCCCAGTACCCATCTGTCAATCTCAAATCACATGCTCATTCCTGAGTCAATCATTGTAGTTAAGGAGATACGTACTCTGATCTGCCCACCTGGTTGTTGTGATTTCCCTGAGATGAAAATGATGACGATAATGGTAGTGAGGTAGTGGGTGAGGTCAGAGTCAGGAAGCACTGTGATTTTTATTTCCACTAACTCAGCAAGGGAACCAGAAGAAACATGGTGGGAAAGTGTGTAGAAATAGGAAAAATTATAGCTACCACAGTAAATAAGGAGAATTTATGTTAGAAGCAATCTATAAAATGAATTAAAAAGAACTATTTAGAATAACTATATTTCCTCATCATATGTAAAATAACATTTTAGATTTTATGAAAGAAGAAAGTGCAGGGTTTCTACATCCTAAGGCTTGAAGATTAAGCAATATCTCACCTGTAAGAAAAAAATTATTTTCTGCTTATTGTTAGAAGATAGATCACACAAAAGTTAGTTTTTAAATAGCCCATAAAATATAAAATCTTGAAGTATAGAAAGCTGCACAAAAACATTGTGAAGATTGTATACACCAATATTTTTGAACTAGGTTAAGAGAAATTAGTTCAGGAACTATTTATTGCTAAAGGATGCTGGAGATGCAAAGAGGAGGAATCTTCAACTAAAAGTCTTTCAAGTTTGATTTTGTCTGTCTTTGCTGAAGGGGTCCTGCATAAATTTTTCTTTAAATGGAATATTCTGTTACTAAAAAACTAGTTTTAAAAACTGATGCATGCAAACACTGATTATAAAGTATGTGTATATATATATATTCATGCATTCAATGGGTTATTCTCATACATTTGTTTAGTGCTCAACTATACACAATGGTGGGCAAACAAATACAAAATATTTCTCTTCCTTCTTGAAGCTAAGAATTTAGGATATATTTGTTGTTGTTTTAGGATTAGTATAAGCTCAGAAACTATGCCCCAATCCACTAACATTAGCCAGCTCCTATTACAGGCAAGGTAATGGGTAGAGCAATGTCACTGGTGGGTGCTGGGAATGAAAGATGAATAGCAATCTCTGCTCTTAGAAAAATCACAAATCAATACTTCTTGATCTCAAGGATGGTGGACTTTTAACCTCCTCTTATGCTTCCACTTGCAGTGAGGGAGGAAATATGAAGTGAGTGTTGTCTTCCATCTTTCTCATCTTCCCACCCCCAACAACAAAAACTACTTTTGTAAATTTAAGGAACCTCTAGGAGGAAAAATGACAGCAATACAATAGATCCTGGGTGGCTGAATCACAACTCATGGACTATTTGTAGATTCCAATAGGACTATTTAGTATCAACTTCATTTCTAACACTGGAACAATATTTCAAATGAAAAGTCTTCTTGGAGGGGAAAGCTACATGTCTTTTTTTTTTTTAATATATAACATTTGTTCTTTAACGCAGAATTCTTACAGCAGAGCTTCTTAGATTGTGGTTCAAGGATCACCTATATTAGAGTTACATGGAGAACTTATTAAATGCAGATTTCTGGGCCCCAACCCAGGCCTTCATAATGAGAATCTGCAGAGTTTAGAATTCAGCAATTTAAACAAGGACCTTAAGTGAGTCTTAGGCACACCCATGTTTTAGAAACAATACTTCAAAAACTTAAGTTGTATAAAATCTCACATGGGTAACCAGTCTGACTGTAGAATATATTAATTCTTTGTGTCATGAGTAGGCAACATTAATGACTCAAAACAGCAACAACAACTTGCCAATATACCATTAAGCAAAGCCATTTTGGCATGGTAGCTGTTAAAGAATTTTTCTCCACACATCAGTTTTCTATTCTTACCCAAATCAAAGTGACTGTTAGCTTGATTACGGAGAACCCTTGGTTTTCCTTGTCATAATAATCTATTGACTAAAGAATAGCCTTCTGGCTGCACACCCAGCAACCCCATCCTCAAATTCCTCCTGAGTCATCCAGGGAGTCCCAAGAAGATAATTCATATGTGGCCCCTAGATGGCCTTATCTTCTTTCATGCTTCTCAAGTTTGCAGTAATATGGCTCTGACCCTATCACTAGTCCCAGCTTCTTCTTATTGCACTATGATGAAAGCTGCTATCCAGATGCTGTGGTTTTCTGCTCCCAGTTTCCTGAACCCAGGAGCTCAATTTGGTCCTGCTTTCTTACTTCCAGTTCCAACAGACTAGCCTGCCAGGAGGAATGCATTCTTTAGCTATCCCTGTTTGTACTCTGCATCTGAGACTATAAATAGATCTACCTTTTACCTTCAGTGTCTTGACAGAGAATGAAGTGATGTGATTCTCTTTTGGACACATCTTCCTCACCCAGAAATTGATCAGGAATCATTCATGCTTGGGTTTAGTGGGTAGGGGAAGGAGCTGATGACACTCACATTAATAATTTTTACTTATAAAGATTCTTCATTGGGTTAACAGTGTCATCCAGGGCACAAGGCTTTCATCCTTCTTGCTCTGCCATCTACAGCTTGGTGGCTTGTCCTCACACTGATTCACTCTCTGGTTGTAGGACAGGATGGCTACAGAAGTCAAGAACAGACCCAACACCCAAAAGAAGAATTGGGGTGATTGATTCCTTCCTTTATTTCTGTTTAATACTGAGAAAATCTCTCAGAAAATTCTCAGCAAATTGACCACAATCTCATGGGTGGGAACTACTGGGTCACATGTCTACTCTTAAACTAATCACTGTCAAGAAGAATGAGTTAGCCCTACCTGGTTTGGCTCAGTGGATAGAGCGTTGACCTGTGGACTAAAGGATCCCGGGTTTGATTCTGGTCTAGGACACGTCCCTTGGTTGCAGGGTCCTCCCTGGCCCAAGCCATGCAGGAGACAACCAATCGATGTGTTTCTATCCCACATTGATGCTTCTCTCTGTCTTTCCCTCTCTCTTCCATTCTCCCTAAAAATCAATGGAAAAATATCCTTGGGTGAGGATTAACAAAAAGTTAATTTTGTTTGAAGTTTTTTGTTTGTTTTGCTTGGAATATTCAGTATTTCCTTCCTGAGTGCTAGACACATGAATAAAGTTGAGATGTTAGAAGAGAAGAGGTGGGTTTGGGATAGACCAGAAGAGTCTCTACTGAAAGCCTCCTAGTCCTTCATGATAAAAAGCTCTGGAAGACCGATGGAGTGGTTCATATCCTGATATCCTTGCAACCCCTAGATTCTGACTCTGAAACCCCATAGTAGCCAGAAGTACATCTCAGATCTTGGCTTACAATGATAAGGAATTATTTGATTTTTTTATTAGTTACCCACAGTCCACAGTGTCTGCTTTCTCAATTCATTTATTTTTTATTTTTGTTAATCCTCACGTGAGGATATTTTTTCCATTGCATTTTACAGAGAGTAGGAGGGAGGGAGGGGGGAGGGAGGGAAGGAGAGAGAGGAAGAAGAAGAAGAAGAAGGAGGGGGAGGGGGAGGGGGAGGGGGGGGGAAATCGCTATGAAAGAGACACATTAATTAGTTGCCTACTGCATGTGCCCCAACCAGGGTCGGAGATCAAACCTGCAAACCAGGTACATGTCCTTGACTGGGAATCAAACCCGCAACCCTTTAGTGCATGGGCCGATGTTCTCATCCCAGAGCAACAATGGCCCAGGCTCAATTCATTTCTAACTACCTTCTGCTTTTTTTGGTAACAAATACATACATACATACATACATGCATACAACTAAAAATGTTCAACAGCTTCTCAGGTGGGTATAAGTAACATAACAGTTTTTTAAAAAAACAACTGAAGTTTTTTTCTCCCTGGCTGCTTGAAGATTGGTCACTGTCATGAACAAACAGTAACTACCCAGACTAGGAAGTTCATGACCAACAAACTGACTACTTCAATGGGAACAAATCTCATTGATGTCCTTCACCCTGGGAAGGCAACAGCCCCTAGGACAGAAATTCAGGAAAACCTAGTCAGAATGTCAGAAGACACCAGATATTATCTTGTGTTTGGATTCAGAACCCATTCCGGCAGTGGCAAGACAGCTGGCTTTGGCATGATTTATGATTCCTTGGATCCCACAAAGAAAAATGAACCCAAACATAGACTTGCAAGACATGGCGTATTTGAGAAGAAAAAGATCTCAACCGAACAGCAAAATGAATATGCGAATGGGATGAAGAGCAGCAGGGAACCGCCAAATCAGTGTTGGTGCTGCCAAAGGAAAGGCAAGATTCTTCAGTGACTTTATCTGTGGGGATTGTGCATATCTTTTTCACAAAACGATTAGTAAGCTATGAACTTTTATGTGAAAAATCAACAACTGTGATTTAAACAAAACATTGGTTATTAGTATCTTCTAGGGTTTGTCAACCATTTCACTTCTCAACATCAGAACTCCTTTACTTTTCACAAACAGCCACTGACTTCAATGGTGCAAGTAGCATGAACCATAGACCATAAGCTCTGTGTGAAACTGTAAATGGTGCACCCTCTGCCTCAATCCTGAAGGGAAGATATGTCCTCAAAAAGGAAGGGGGGCAGGAAGAAGGAAGAAAAGAACTCCTCCAAACCTCTCAAAAAAAAACAACTGCAACCAACCATTAAAGTTAATTAGAACAAAGTGTCAGAAACAGAACTAAAAATTTTGTTGATGTTTACTCTAAAACCTGTTTCCCCAAAGCTTCCATGTGTTTCTTTATTTGGTTTTATTTTCTAGGACTGGCACCCACAGCAGCAGATGTGGGAGCAAAAATGAAATCAGAAGGACGTTGGTATTCTGGATTAAATTGTTCTTCACTGCATTAGCGAAAGGAAACAGATTGTAGCTAGGATAAGAGAAGCGTATATAATTTTAAGTGTGCAATAGCACACAGCATCGATTTAAATGACCTAGTAACTCAGTACCGTCCCAGACAATTATTTTCTAACCAGGATTTATGTCATGTGTTGTCAAAAAGCAGTCCCAACCTTGGACACAGATACACGTTTCAAAGTTGCTTTTCTCAGTTGGAAAAGACCTTTGAATTGCTTTGTTGTAAAAAGCAGAAAGGCCATTTTCCCTTTCTCTTCAAATTTAATAACCATCAGTGATATTAGGGAATGGTTCACCTTTTTCCAGTAATTTAAGTTTTTTTTAAAGATGCATGTGCAGACTTATTTAAAAGTATCTGATATGACATTATTAATCAATACAAATATATGAATGAAATTTTAAAAAGCCTTACACTTTTATTTTTGATGATATCCTTCATGTAAATCTAAAACTATTTTGGGGCAGAAGAAATTTAAATATTTTAGTTCCTCCCTGCCCCACCTCCCCACCCCCTACACCTCAAATTTCTTTCTGGGGAAGCAGCAAGACTCAGATTCAAATTCACATAAAGAACCACATGTTAATGTCATAGCCTCTGCTTGTCTGGGTAAATGCCAAGGAGCACATCTCACATCAGAGTTTGTAATGAACCTTCCATTGAAAAATCCAGTCAGCCTTTTAACTTCACACTTATGGCTTCCCACTCTGCCTAACATTATATTTCAGGACTACACTTGGAATGCTGAGCACAGTGGTTTCCACATCCTCGTCTCAGGTACTCAGATGTATTGATGGATTTTTCTTTTTATTTTGCAACAGTATGCCTCATGAACCTGAGGTTTAAACTTGGTTGTAATTTTGGCAACAGAGCTGCCAATAAAAAGCACATCTAACTCTTTCATTTGCTCTTCATCTTTCTCACTATAACTTGCCAAACTAGAATCGGACCCCTGGGACATTCTTAGGTGGGATTCTGAGCTAAAGTATTGGATCTATCCATGTACTACTATAGTTACTAGTATAAAGAAGGGAAGGCTGGGTTCTAAAGCTTTTTCTCTTTAGCTTCTCCAACTTTTTTTTTTTGTCACTGTTGCTTAATACCATTTTTTTTTTTTGGTTTCCCCTAAAATCCATCTCATGAGCAAGACTCCCCTAAACCCTCCTCCATCGTAGTTTGCTAATTATGATGACATAAACTTATTTATCTTTCTTATTCTTTTTTTCTTCATGGAGATTAGACATAAAAAACAGAATAAAGGGAATTTGGTAGTGAAGATCAAATGAGTAAAGAAACAGAAAGTCTAGCTATTCAAAAAATAATTTATTTTGGCAGCGTAAAACTATTCCATGGTTTTACCCATCCTCCAATTGCAGCATCCTAAGTACTCCTCCACCTCCATAAATGACAAATAATTGTTAACTTGTGCCAGAGACTTGAGAAGAAGAGGAAGGCCCCAGGGAGGGAAATGCAGAGAGGTCAAATCGACCTTGGCCTTAGAAAGAGTGGTGTAATTTCCTAGTAACTCCAAGGGCGAAAGTGGGAGGCAATTCTTCGAGGTGAGAAGCCACTCCAAAACTCTCACCCCTATAGATGATTATGGGCGCTAGAAGTTGTGTCTCAAAGTAAAGAACAATTTATATATTCTCTGTATTATCTGTGAGTACTTCACTAAAAGTTAGGGTGTTTAAAAAACATGAGCAGTACAATCCCTCATCTATTAGTAAAGAATAGTTCTGGGGTTATTCTAAATTGACTCCAATCTTCTTCATGTTGAATGGAAGCCAAAAAGGGCTTGCCACCATAAACATTATGAGAGAGGTTTGTCTGTTTCTCCACTTTAAACACACAGATCAATGTCTGCATGAAGCTATTTCATTATCTCAATCTATGAATTCAAAAGATGAAGCTCAGATAATATATTATTTATCTACTAGAGGCCCAGTGCACGAAAATTCAATAAGGCCAAACAGTTTGGGCAGCTTGCAGCCAACTTGTGAACGGCAAGAACTTATTTTTCCCAACTTATGACACTTGAGAGAAAATGGTTAATACCTGTCCTCTCTAACCAGAGAATTACATAGCTCAAATCACCCGGAAACTGTTAAGGCAGGACGAGAGAAGTGGGAAGAAAAAAAGGGAGTTTCATCTCAACCACTAGTCAACCATCTTAGGACTTGCCAAACAAGACAAAGATATGTGTACAAATATCCCAAGAAAAGCCACAATAAAGTAAAGGGGGACTTTGAAACCTAATCTGCTACCCAAAATATCCAGCAGAGAAGCCTTGAAACCTGTAGATAGAAGGACATGAAACCCTTTGAGCCCCACTAGGCACATGCTCAGACCAACTGAGTGTCCAGTTAGGCTTTATGCCAAGTGTATTTTAAATAAATTTGCTTGCTTTGTTTCCTTAATAAACTTGCTTGCTATATGTCTGTCACTTGTTTGAAATCTTATGAGTTTGACAAGAACTGATGAGGAGGCTGCCTGATAACATAACTTCATAGCCTTCTTGTTTGAGTTATACATGTGGAGTATAAGAAAAAAGTCAAAGATGCTTCTAAGGCTTTTGATCTGACCTCCTGGGGAAATGCAGATGCTACTTCTTAAAATGGGGACAAAGAGATAAAGCGGATTTGGGAAATGAAAGGAGAAATCAAGTTTCTTGATTTTTATTTTGGACAGGTTAAATTCAAGATGCTTATTGGTGATTTCCAGAGATGTCCAAAGGCAATTGAATATACAAGGTCAGGAATATTTGGTGTTTAGAGATGTAAATTTGAGAATCATTATTATTGACTTATCTAATCATCGTGGCTGACCTCAGACTTGAAGCCTAAACTTCTACCTCCTTCTTTGTTCAGTGGCTGTATCTAGATGATTTATTAAAACAAACAGACTTGGCATTATTTTCATTTTAAAAATAGATATCCTAAAATATATATAATAGTTTATATAAGATATGAGTTTGAGAAATGATAACAACATTGACTGATCTTAAGATCACATAAGGCTTTATCGAGTAAGTAAAATGTCAGCAAAGTGCACCTGGGCGACACAGTGGCCTGCAGAGCCCAGGTGAGATGTTCCATTTGACTCCATTTGTTAAGAGAAGTGGTGGCTATGCTCCTGGGGCTTTGAATGGAATCCTTGTGGGGAAAGCTGCCATATTTCAAGTCACAGGTCAGAGGAAAGGGAAAAGGAATAAGAACAGTCTGTGAACTATGGGCAGAAAGGAGCAGACCTGATGGTTTATCCTCTAATTCAAAGGATTCAAGCTGAAAGTGTCATTTAACAAGATTATTTATTCGAAAGCAAGGTCCAGGAAATCACAATATTTATTCAAGGATCAGTATCATGGTGTTTGTTTTGAAGAGCTACACTGGTTGCAAAGAAGAATGTCTAATATTGCACAGAAATGGGATATCAGAAGAGCTTAGATTCAGAATGCCTAGCAGCACCTCCAAAATGGGTGATTCCATTTCCTGAGTTGCACTGAATATTTTTTTTTAAATATATTTTATTGATTTTTTATAGCGAGGAAGGGAGAGGGATAGAGAGTCAGAAACATCGATGAGAGAGGAACATCAATCAGCTGCCTCCTGCACGGCCCCCACTGGGGATATGCCCGCAACCAAGGCACATGCCCTTGACCGGAATCGAACCCGGGACCCTTCGGTCCGCAGGTCGACGCTCTATCCACTGAGCCAAACTGGTCAGGGCTGCACTGAATATTTTTAAGAAAGTACTGGGTGGGAGACATGGGTAACACTGATACAGTATTATGTACAGTTTTAAAGACTTACATATCCACTTATTTGATCTATATGACAAAGCTGTGAGATGGACAAGACAGGTAAGATCAGCCCTGCTTTCCAGATGAGGAAGCGAGACCATCTGTAACTGGTGGAGAACAGATCAACGCTGGGGGGTTCAGTTAGAGCTCTTGTCAAGGAAAAGCATATCAGTGCCACCACTGACTTAGTGAAATAAGCATCAGGCATCGCAGGAAGCCAGAGCTGCTGTCAGTTGCTCCTCCCCCTCAGCCATGGATATATTTAAACCGAGTCATAATAAAAGAAACCAGCAGCTGGCACTTTTGGAAAGCCAACTCTGGAGTCCTCTCAGAAGAAAACTTCTTTCTAGATAGAGTTACTCTTTTTAAAATTTTTCATTTGCTGTTTAAAGTTATATTTCTAAGTGAAATATTTTACAGTGAAAAAAAATTGGGATAAACTATGCCAGTGATGGCGAACCTTTTGAGCTCGGCATGTCAGCATTTTGAAAAACCCTAACTTAACTCTGGTGCTATGTCACATATAGAAATTTTTTGATATTTGCAACCATAGTAAAACAAAGATGTGTATTTTTGATATTTATTTTATATATTTAAAAGCCATTTAACAAAGAAAAATCAACCAAAAGATGA